CGAGACCGCCACCGGTATGGAAGCCGAGACTGAAGAATCGGTGACTTCGGAGGAGGAGGAGTCCGACAAGGCGGACGAGCCTGCACAGGACACCGCTGTCAAGAAGGAGAAGTGGGTTGCGATCAAGTCGCAGATACCCCCAGCTGCAGAGCCCCAGCTTGAAACGACGCCTGCTGAAGAGATCACCGCTTCATAAATACGCCTTCTCGCAACAAACTTCATCGGACTGGACTGACTGCTCACTCCACGCTCCTCCTCCCGTGCCTGGGATCACGCCGCTGCTCTGTCGTTACATATCTGCATCTACTACTGGTCCTCGTGTGTTTTGGTTGTTACTATCCTGCCTGTGTGATACGTTAGACGGAATGGCATTTTTTTGTGGATTTAATCCACTCCCCCCTCTTGCGTCCTGTGTGCATTTTCCAGCAAGTTTCAGCATTTTCTTTTCGCTGGTCCTGCAGCGCAGTCTCAATCGCTTTGCTAGCAGGAAAGCAATGTTTTTGTTGAAGAAATATCTAGCGAATATCCGACATGCCGTGTAGCGTATACTATGTAGATTAAGGCGTAAAATGCGTGAATGACGACGTGTGTTTGGATAGATTCATAATTTTATGTTGGCTTGACATTAACGTCCGACAGGGTCTTGAACGCCTCCTTATATGCATCGAGTAGTGCCTTGACCCTCGCCCGCTCTGACACCAGCCCCTCATCCTCGTGGAGCATCTCTGTGAAGAACTCGGGCTTGTATAGGGACGCGACGAGGCGATTCTGCACATGGTACGAGGTGTGATTGACGAGGAAGTGCATGATCGCTTTGGGTACGAGGTCCTGGATGCTCTGGCGAACGATCCCGAAATATGATGCGATGAGGGAGCGGATGAGGGACGTCTCCATCTCTTCGCGAAGAGTGAGGTGATTCCCGTCCGAAGGAATCTTGAGAACGCATGAGTGCCGTCTCTGACAAGAAGAACGGAAAGTGCTCACCGCTTCAATATGTTTCCCCAGACTCTTCATGTCGTACGCAGCATTGTGCCCGTCACCCAGTCCGGACGCGATGGCCATGATATTCGTAGTCTCCCCTGCAGACAGCGCAGACACGTCTCGCCCCACCGGCACAACGCTCTGCCCGCTTCCACTCGGCCGATTCTGATGTCTGGAATGCTCCGCACTCGCGCCTGAAACCGGACCCGGGCCATTCTGTCCGAAGAAGTAGTTTAAGAATGTCTCCCGCGCGGACGGCGGTGAACCGCGGTGTGTCTGCGCCATGGCAGAGTGAGGCCGCTGCTGGTTTGGGATCTTCCTTGCCGGAATGTTGGGCAGCGTAGGGGTGGATCCATTCGTTGTCCGGCCGCGGTCATGTAATGTGGCGGATACCGAGCGCTCGGCATTGCGCGAAGGGAAGATGCCACTGGGAAGACCGTTCTCATCTGACGAGTCCTCGTCCTCGTCTGTCCCAGTGCCATTTGTCGCATCTGTGGACACAGGCTGGAGAGCAACTATTCATACCACGAAGCCAAGAGAGTAAAGGGGGCTCACTAGAGGAATCTGCCGAGGCGGAGGGGAGCTGGCCTGCTGCGCAGCAACAGCAGAGCCGGAGATAAAGGCAGGGTGGTTGGTGTTGATGTACGCCGCCTGTATAGCGATCAAGCTCTGCGCATATTCGGAGGTGGGGCCCAGTCGCTCCCGCAGCAGCTCGGAAACGACCTCGATCAGTTTGGCGTGCAAGCCAGGGAACCGTTGCAGCTCCTGCAAGGCATTATCAGGACATGCTCGTTAACGTAGGGAGATATTTACCGTGCTAGTGCAGTTATGGCAGATCTTCACGAGTTCCTCGTACACGAGCTCTACACAGCGCAAACTAGGGGCTTCCAGCAACTTGATCTGAGGTTTTACCAGGAGATCGAATGCAATTTCGGGGACGAAGAGGCTCGGGCGAGGTCCTGTAGAGTTGCGAATCGCCGTTCGGATGTCTTGGTTCTCGAGGTTCGCTGTGGAGTCGATTGAATCCAGAGCGTGTCCGAATATGTCGTTAAAAATGTAGTATATCCGAGCACCGCCCGAAAGCTCTTTTGTAGAGATATCCACCTTTGTGCCCTCGATCGAAGATACGAAGTCGCGTGCAAACTGAGTCATTAGACGCAGAATGAGAGCTCCTTGCTTTATGGAACGATGAGTTTGCCGTGAAGGAAGAATATTTCCATAGCACGAACCTGAGTTCTGGTCTCCGAAGCTATCTGAATCACCGAACGAGTTGAGCTCCTGCTGAGCCTGACCCATCAGGGTGTTTAGCCGAGCCTTCATGTCAGGCAGTTTGTCTCGAATGTGGTTCATGAGGACCTGCACAAGGTCAATAACATTTTCTCGAGTGCAACGCGACAAGGCGCACCTGGTTCAGAGATTTAGCCAGGTATTTCGTTCCCGTTCTTGTGGGCGATATTTCGGTAAGCGGGGTGGTTCTTGAAGAACTCTGTTTCACTGTCCCGCGCTGCTTCCATGCTCTTCTCCCCATTGATGTCCAGCTGACTGCGATTCACGACGCCGATAAATCCAAGCTTGAGCGGGTAGACGCGACCAGTCAAAATGTCCAAAGCATTCGTCCCAGCGTCCATCAAGTCCAGCTTCGTCAGAACGCCAATTGTCCGCCGGCCTTGCGGGTCGACTTGACGCGCGAGCTTGAGGGACTCCGAATTGGCCAGATCAACATTGGCCTGGCGACACGGAAAGGATTACACTGTGGATCGACTGCGTAAGCAATTGGCACTGAAGCGAAGGGTAGGCACGCACCTGTTTGGTTTTTGAATGTAGTCCAGCACCAGATTCCGAATTTGCCGTTCAATATCACTTGGTTGGTCTCCAACGGGAATCTTGTGAAGCGTAAGTGTTTGGAATAGACATAGGACGTATAGAAACCCACCTTGGTCAACCCGGGTAAATCAACGAGGGTCAAGTCTAGGACATCTGGACTGTAAATCCGGAGCGATATTGGCAACTTGCTAACACCCTTATTTTGCCCCGCCACCCGGAAAGTTTCCTGCTCGATCTCCTTGCGAATGTCGCCAAAGTCGGTGAACTTTTTGTCTATGTGGAGGAACTGCGCCCATTCTCGAAATGTCGGGCTGCTGGGAGAGGGATCGTTGGATTCGGGGGTGTGTATAAGCTGGAGGACTAGGGGCCGGCGCGTAACGATGCCCTGGCCACGGGGAAGAAAGTCCCGTCCAACGATGCTAAAACGCACGCAAGACCATAAGGAAAGCGTAAGACTATAGAAGACGCTGGCCACTCACGTCTCGAGAACGCTGGATTTCCCTGCTGATTGACTGCCCACCTGGCAACGGGTGAGTACGAGGTTCAAACAGACCCCAGTCAACTTACAACTACAAGTTGGGGCATGTCCAGCTCCCCTCCTGCGGAAAAGGAAGAACAGCAACGATTCAGTACATATTCAAGTGCACCACCGCTGTTTCCAACGCGCACCAAGGTTATTGAAGGTATCCTGGAGCTTGTTCACCAGCTTGATGAGGTCGGTGTCCATTTTGGCGAGTGTGCACAACGGCCGGAAGAAAGATAGGGTTGCGGGACAAGTAGAAAACGCGTAAAAGAGCCGGCAAACTCGCCGTGACGACGCGCCGCTACTTGTATTACGAAATCAAATAAATATTCCGCCAAACTCAAGTCTGCGCTATTGGGCTACATGGAATTCAAGAATCGTAACAAGTCCTTTCGGTTCGCCTCTCTCTCCTCGTCACCTTTTTCTTTCTTGACTTTGAGTTTGATCTGTGGCAAAAAGTGAGCACTCGCGTGAGATGCAGCAAAAGCATCTCACCTTCTTGCCGGTCAAGATGCTCCTTCGTTCTTCCTTGTCCTTTTCCTTTGAACGCTCTCGCTCCTTTCTCCGCTTTCGCCGTTTCCTGTCCTCCTCATCCTCGCTGTCGACCTTGTCACGGTTGCGCCGTTTCCGCCGCTTTCTGTCCTCCTCATCCTCACTGACATCCTCGTCCCGGCTCCGTCGTTTTCGCCGCTTTCTATCCTCCTCGTCCTCGCTGTCATCTTCATCCCGGCTCCGTCGTTTGCTGCTTTTGCGGTCACGGGTCGTCGAGGACCCCCCATGGTCCTTGTCGCGAGAATACTCGTCTCCGTCCTATTAGTTGGCGAGAGTTAGGATTTGCATAACAGCACCTTCCGAGGTCAAAACCTGCAATTTCAAAGGAATTTAGGACAGACGTACCACTGAGTCCGCGCGGCGGCGTCCACGTTCGCGTTCTCGGCCGGGGCCTGGACTTAATGTGCGGTGGTGGCGGCGCTGCGTACTAGGTTATAACGCAAGCTTTAATAGTAGATTAAAAGACACTAACGGATTCGCCTCTCTCCCTGCGGGGGCTGGGGCTCCGACGCCGTTTGCTCTATCATAGAACCTTTGAGCAAGGGTCGATGGAGACAGTGAGGACGAGACGCACCGAATGTTTTTCGTCATATCGCGAGCGAGACTCAGGACTCAGCGCTCGGATCTCTACGCGCCCTCCTCACCTAAGGCAAGAAGCTAAGCCCAGAAATGTCGGGATGAGACAACTAAACCAACCTCCGACCGTTCTGTCGACCGTTCTCGCCCGTCGCGGCTCCCAGAGTGGCGAGAGACATGGGAGCGGACCGCAGAGCCAGAGTGTCGACCGCTTGTGATGACCCTCGTATCTCTCATAAGCCAGAGACGGGGACCGGTCTTCTACACGCCGTTGAAGCCATGGTGTAGACCGAGGTGAGCAGAAAGTGGGATGTCAGGAAGAGGAAAAATGAGTCTCATTGGTTTGAATCCTCGTAGATGTATCTCACCAGCCCGAGATTTGGAGGCGTGTTGTTCCTTCGGGGGTTGGTCCCACCTGGACGAGTATCCCATGGTGGCGGTTGTGTGCAACTTTGGTGCAAGTTGTGGAATGGCGGCGTATTCAGCTCCTCACAGTGAACCCTCGTTGTTCTGTTATGACCCAAGGATTTTGCTTCTTAACATGTCTCGACTCGTATATCGGTTTAGTACACGCGCCTGTCAAGGGCCTAAGACAACCCGGCCGCGCGAAAGCTGGGTTCGACTCCCAGGTCGAGAGTCATTTTTCTGAATTCGCTTTTTCTTGCCCGTGCTTTCACAAACCCTGCTTTAACATTTCACAGCAGCTGCGCCCGTTTTTGCAACACAAATTCACTGGTACATAATTACAGGCTGAGAACTATGACTGGCCGCCTTCTCGTGCCTGCGCGAGCAAAGCCTCTGCAAAGTCTTCGAAATCGCCCTTCCTACATGAGCGACTGGGCTGTACCTTTCAGTCAGTTATCTTGCATCTGATACTACGGACTGCAAACCTTAAAGGCATATATAACTGTCTGCGGTTCCACAGACTCAGAGTCCGACTTGTCTTGCAGCTCCTTCAGTGCCACGCGCAGTATATTCTCCTGCGCGTCGAACGTGCACCGCACTGTAGGCTGCATGCGCACATTCATGGAAACCTTCCAAGAGTGGCTCCCTGCGAAACACTGCATTTCTCGTTCATACTACTAATAGGGTCCGCAAAGACGGCAGTCAGGGACGCACGCAATCGTTTTGAGAGGGCTCGTCTTGTGGGAGAGGAGCTTGATATGGCCCACCATCCCCCCGGAAAAGTTCTCCTCCCCGCGTTTGATGTAGAGCTTGGCGCCTTTGAGTTCCAAGATGATGTCTTCGTCCTCCTCGCCGGTCGAATCTGTCGATGGTGGTTGGTCAGCTGTGTGTGTGTATAGGTGGCACTGGAATGTATTGACGGGGTATTGTGACGTTCTGGGGCTTCACTGCGACGAGGGCAGACTGCGAGACGGCCGTTTCGTCGGCTTCACCATCCAGACCCGCTATAGTTGTTTCAGCTGCAGCAGTGGTGCTGGCCCAGATCGGTTTGCTGGCAATCGAGATGCTGTCCTTTTGCGAATTCGTCGAGAAAAATGGGGACGAAGAGCCACCAAAATTGGCGAATCCTGGCGAAGCCGTGGTTCGCTGAAGTCGAGTGAGAGTCAGTGGAATGGAACGAGTAGGATCTTACGACGGTAGGGAATTGTGTGATGCGTGGAGGGGTCTTCGGAAACGCAAATCCTGCGAAAGCGGGCACAGGTTTAGGTGCTTCTGGACTCGAACTGCTCTCAACAACATCCGGGTTCGGTTCAGACGGGACGGGATCAGATAATTCCAACTTGGTTGCCGGTTGCGGCTCTTCGCTGCTGGAAGAGTCGTGCGCCTGGGGGGCCATTTCATTCTACAAACGGTTCAAGTCAGAGGCATGGATAATTGCGGTAGATAGGTACCAACCGCGCTATTAGTGGGATCCTCCGCCGGGACAGAGCCACTTCGGCGTTTGTTTGGGTAGATCGAACTCAGATTCTGGGAGACGGGAGTAAGATGAGAGAAGAAAGGGGTTCACAGGGAGGCAACAAACATGGGGGTATCCCATATCCTTGAAAGCGACGTGTTAACGCGGACTGTTCTTCGTCAATGTGCAGACATACAGGGTCGGCTTCGTGGGCTTCGGCGTCGTCCTGATCCTGCGTCCGCTTGCGTTTGAGCGAGCTGTTGGCGCGGACTACGGTAGTTGGTGTGGTTTCTGGTCCGGGTTCGGGTTCGCAGGTGGGTTCGGAGGGCGTCGTGTATGATTCGGGTTCGTCCACGAAGATGGGCTTTTCGACGACCATTTTGCTGGATGATTCGGGAGCTGGGTCCGAGATTGGCTCATCTCCGGGTAAAGGTTGCGGGACAGCACGTCTGGCGAGAGGGTAGAAGTCTTAGTCCGATGCGAAGTTCTTCGTGACATACGACGGGAGTGGTCGAGCTTTGCGAGCACAGGCGTAGCCGACAGTGGCGGCCAGCGTTGCGAATCCACAGACGACAAAGTTGAAGTCTGTCACCGGAAGCATTATTTGAGAGAGAGTTAAACCAGAGGGCGCTCAGGCGATGTGTGATCGGTGAGGAGGTAGTTGGGGAAGCACGGTTGATAGAGCGAAATGTTGAAGAAAGCCTTTTAAAGCTGGATAAGGATGCCGTGCGCGGGCCAGGTGCGTGATGGTCTGTAGCCTCGAGGCTCGGATCCAGGGCCACGCGATGTGGGTGCTCGACTGGACAGTTTAGACAGACCATAAAGCGTTTGCAGTCGATCGCATTTTCGAACGGTCGCCCTTGTTTCGCGGGAGTGTCATGAGCCCACGACGCAAGTAAACTTGAATGTTGAAGCCCGCTGATCTCGACGGTCTGAACGCGTTAGATAACACCAGATTCTCCTGCTCCAGCGATCCTTTCGAAGTTGACCGATTTTTGGCGCAGAGTTCCACGCCGTCGCAGCCGTGTACCGTGTCGCAAGTAGTTCTGAACAAGAGTGATCAAGCCGGAGGTCGCCAAACGACACACGCGGTGGTGTGACTAAATAAAAAAGCGCTGAGAACGCTACTATATTGTTGAGTGCGTACGGGATAGACCAGAGCTACGGTCCCGGGCGAGGGTGGGAGGTCGGGAACCGGTTAAAGACGTGGCGCGACTGGGGACTTGCCGCTGATCCCACGGCCCAGCGGGAACGCCAGGAAGAGTTGACGTGTCTCCCAGTCTCGGATTGGTCAACTTCCAGCACCTCGGTGTATAAATACTGCTTGGGTTCCCATTCACCTTCAACTCTGCTTGCAACGATGTTCTCGTCCCGACTGCTGCTGTCGCTCGTGCTTGTCCCTGCGTTTGTCTCGGCCGGTGTCTTCCCTCCGGACTCGCTGGTGAAGATGCTTGACGCAAAGTCTTTCAAAAAGGCTATGAAGGCGAACGTACGTGTCTCTTCGCCGGTGTTAGTATCATGTTGAGGTTGCCTTACAGGAAACTAGCATGGTCGCTTTCGTCGCTCCTTGGTGCGGGGTATGAATTGGTGCTTGTATTGCCTGCTTCGCGTCTCAATTGTCCTCAGCATTGCCAACGACTGGTACCGGAGTACAGCAAGGCCGCTCTGGGCCTCCACCCTCTGCTTCCCTTGTACGCTGTTGACTGCGACGCCGAGAAGAACAAACCCCTCTGTGCGGAACAGGGTGTTAAAGGATTCCCCACCATCAAGGTGAATATAAACGCTGTTGTTGCCCCGAGCCACGCGCTTACCGGGATTCAAGGTGTTCCCAAGGGGGAAGGCGCTCAACCCTATAACTTACGAAGGCGGTGAACGTACGGCCAGCGCTCTATACTATTTCGTGACGCGTCGGATACCGAGCGCATTCACCAAACTGTACAAGACAGAGGACATCGTTCCTTGGATCGAGAAGGTTGGTCATAATGGGCTGGGCACAGGCAGCCGTGTTTATTGAATTACCGCAGACAGTCGACGTGAAGCGTACACTACTTCTGACGAAGGACAAGAAAGTACCGCTTCTCTGGAAAGTACTCGCCAACAAATACCAGGGGCAGTTGGAATTCGGAACCCATCGCGACCGCAAAGGAAAATCCTCCGTGGCCTTGGGCTTCGAGGCAGGAGAGAAGAAGGAGTCCAAGGTTCTTGTTTATTCTCCTGGATCCACCACTCCTTTCCGCTATGAAGGTTAGCGCTTTAGCATGAAGCACATTCGAGGCTAATATCGTTTCTAGGCCTGAACAAGTTGGACTCCTTGTCCAAATTCTTCGACTCGGTGATCGACGGCAGCGCAGATCTGACGGTGATCAACGAGGAGGCCAAAACGGAGGAGTTCGAGCCGACGGAGGAGGAGCTTGAAATCGAACGGAAGCAGGAGGCCCAGCGGATGGCCCTTCTCCACGGCGGATTTTCAGATCTCATCGACTTTGAGCAGGCCATTCTGGATGGCAGCGCGGCGAATTTCCACGATACTAACGGCTTCGGCTCACCTCCGCCCAAGAAAGCCAAACGCCAGAGTCCGAGGCGGCTAAAGCAGCGGAGGAGACCGCGACGCCCACTCCCTCCGCTACTGCGACCCCCGCTGCTGAATCTACTGTCGGGAAGGACGAGACTGAGCTGTAGCTTGTTTCCGGTGGCTGTACTAACCTGTAGATTATTATTTTATTTTTGACAACTTTGGAAATAAACAAGTGACAATATCCGTTTGTTTCGCCCCTTCAATAAAGAATTGAGTCGTCCTTGGACTGTCCGCCTGAGACGCCATGGCTCGCGGTGGCCACGTCTCTCCGGTGGCGACGATGCCCGTGCTACCCAAAGTCTCGTTCCAGAAGATTGAAGACGATATTTCCACTCAGCCGAGCGGGGTACATGACAGTCAAGCGCGTAGTTTCGGGTGTACGTCCTTTGCTCGTCCGTTCGCCCCTTGCCTCACGAGACGCGTAGACAACGACTTCTCCGACTTCTACCGACCCGACCAGTACATCCGCCATATAGGTGCGACACGGGAGACGTGAATTGCAGGTCGTGTATTGAATGAATGCTGTTGCAGAGCCACTGGAAATCGACCTCGAGCGGCAGGTCGAATATGACATGGACGAACAAGGTGCGTTGTGCGCGTGCGCGCCTGTCGTCGCGTCTTTAATGGACCTCATAATCGGCGCGCAGATCAGGAATGGCTCGATGCGGTAAACGCAGAACGGAAGAAGGAGCAGTTGGACAAAGTTACATATGAAGTCTTCGAGGTGGTAATGGACCGCCTAGAGAAAGAGTGGTTTAACCTGGTGCGTGTAACCCTCTAGCTCTTCCGGGATGCGTCTAAATATCTATATCAAGACTAAACATATCCCCAAACCCGATTTGGCCCTCCCCTCGGAGGACTCGACCTGTGCCATTTGTGACGATTCCGAGGGCGAGAACAGCAATGCTATCGTGTTCTGTGATGGCTGCAACCTCGCAGTTCATCAAGGTCAATTTAGTTTCGTGTGTTCTGTTCCGCACTGAACTAATAGGGCAGATTGCTATGGGATTCCCTATATTCCTGAAGGGCAATGGTTATGTCGGAAATGTACCGTGTCCCCCGAGAATCCGGTGGTAAGGCTTTACCCTCTCGCATCTACTGTTCTCATATTGTACAGTCTTGCACATTGTGTCCGAATGAGGGCGGTGCGTTCAAACAAACAACCCAAGGAGAATGGATACACCTGCTGTGCGCAATCTGG